GTCTTTGTCCCGCTTACAGGTATACTCTTCGCTGGAATAACCTTTCAAGAAATATAAGATCTTCAGATAATCTACACACTTTCAAGCGAAGGCTGCGTCTTTATTTGAATACTAGCTGTATTAAATGTTTATATTCCTCATCCTTCCCAGACAATTTTCTCTATGACACCAAGAAAGGGCCAGCGGGAATTTAGGACGCCGCCATTAACTTTCCCTATTCGCTCACATTTCCATCTTTTATGTGAAGTATCGCTTCCTAGGGTCACTCATCAGAAATGTTAATTTTTTTGATTTTTCAGTTCATGCATCATGCCCCTCACAGAATGCGCTCTATCGACGCTCTTGGCGGAGCATTCTGTATTCGCCATCTATTAGTAGTTTGGTCGCACCTCCGTTGACAACTCCTCGGCTGGGCTCGAAGCGGACGGTGGCCGATAGCGTCTGGGTTCCTCTCGCCTGGCCTCTGACGCGAATAGTCTCATCCGGCGTATCAATTCTGCCCTGACGATGTCCGTTCTGAATCTCGTTTACAATACCACATGCAAACCAGTCCTGTCCGACCCGCATACGTAACCCTCATGGCTGACATTTATTCATGCCCTGACTATGTCCGATTATAATCCGATATATACTGCCACATGCAGGCCAGTCCTGCCGGCATTTTATGTTATTATGAACGAGGGTTTTTGTCCTGCAGAAGTAATCCAATCATTTTTAAATTTTTAAGTGGGGTCCTTTTCACCGCTTGCTCATCATTTTTCTTAATGGACTTCAAATTCAGAAACTATGAAATGCATTTTGTATAGATTCTGCCTTCCCCGTCTAAAATTCGTATGTAACTCGATTTCACTTGCTTTCTTTGGACCCCGATGGGTCTTTAATTAAAATTTATTTATTTATTATATCTATTTATTTAGTCAGCCAGTCATACCTAACCTGAAGTGTGGAACAGCTAGGACGCGATCCCGCGACCTGTGAGTTACAAGTCCAACGTCTCTTACCACTAAGGCACGGGCTCGATGTCGGCTGCGATCGGGAATATGAGGGGATAGAGTAGCGCTTACCGATCGTGTTACGGAACTCACTCGTTCCGGTGTGTCTTAGAGCTCTCTCTCTCTCGAGCCCTAACAGCAGCCGCACAGCGGCGCATGATGTAGACAGAATGTTATTACCGAAAAAGGGGCACTGGGATGGCCATTTCTGCCAATACTATGAACCGCTGTACGGCTGCTGGTTGGGTTCAAAAGAGAGCCCGTAAGGCACAACGGGACGAATGAGCTCCGTAAAAATGATCGGTGAGCGCCCCTGTACCATTGACTGCGTAGTGCTTATGTGGGACTATCCGTTATTCTCCGTTTTGCATACTCCAGACAAAAAAGACGCAGCATGTGGTGGGGCGACTTCAAGCTGATGAGGGCAGATCAAAATATTCTACTCCAACACACCTAAAAAAATACAAACCGGCATCTGTTCTGTTTAAGGAAAACTGAAATATCATCTGCCCCTGAATTTATCGAAGTTTGCGTCTACGAAGTAAATATATACCAGTGATACGGTTTACAGAAACGATTCCCTTCAGAATTCAAAATTTTTGACGGATCGCACTTAGAATTTTGTCTGTCCCACAATGACTTCCAATTCATAAAAATAGTACATGATTCAATCCATTACGGGATGGTTTTATGGAAGGATTTACGGGTAAGGAGCTTGTACGTTCCCACGTATGTTTTCACATTTTTATTGGCACCTTTTACAACATACTTTACATTTTTTGTTTTCCTCAAAAAACTATGGCCTTCTGTTTCCCCCAACCCTCGTACTATTTGTTTGAATCTCCCATTTTCATCCCGCGCAACTTGACGCTGCCCGTCTGACTATACGCCACATCTTTCTGACTGTACGCCTGGAGACATTTGGTTGTAAGCGTAACATTTAAATCTTGCTAATCATGCCAATTATAGAACCGTGTTTCCGTAAAATTCTTCACTTCTCTACATCGTTTCCGCGCACGGACTGCACGACGTAAGCCGACTCAGGCGACTGAATCTAGACAGGCTAGAGAGCAGCTAGGTCCAACAGACTCTGTGTGAGTAACGCAAACAGGCAACAAATAGCAGTCGAAAGTACTCCACAGAGCTCTTATGGAGCCTCTTCTAGGAACTCGTCAGGAGCTTCCTGCCGTTGTGCCGTTTGTCAAAAGTTCCACCACTACCTCGCTGGCAAGCGGTTCATATTACGCGCCGACCATCAGGCACTGCGGTGGTTAGAGAACTTCAAGGATCCGACTGGTCAACTCTCGCTCTGTGAGGCAGACCTTACAGAGTATTCATACACTGTCGTCCATCGTGCAGGTCAGAAATATCAGAATGGGGACGCAATGTCTGGCGGGGCACAGACGACACCGCCACTCGATACACATGCCCAGGTGACTGTTGTTGCGTTTGGCGCTCCTAATCACTCACGACGGGCATCGGCTCAAGCCGCAGTGCTCTAAATATCGCTTATGTGTGATAGTAATCTTCGCCGCTCGCCGAAACCGTCAAGCGAGCAGGTGAAAGGTTCTAGCCGCGAAACTCGATGCCTTTGATCGGCGTGGAACAGCCTTCGCCTTTGCGACGACGTGCTATTCCTTCAGTACTCTCCCACCAATCCAGTTCGGTTGGCTTTACTTCATGATGCCATCCACCCTACTCCCTCTCTCGCCTCCATAGTGGTTTGTGTCATGCCGGTCTATTTCGTACAGACACGACTGCGCGACACCGTTTTTGATGCCCCAATCAACGCCGGATCATCCAGGACATTTGTAACACCTACCCTGTATATGTGGATTAAAAAATCCCAACCCAACGTGCCGCGCACCGACGCAGCCCATTCATGCAGGCTACCCGAACGAAATTGTTCCTGTCGACTTAATGGGTCCCTTACCCCTTCCCTCTCCGGAAACCAGTATATCCTTGTCTTGGTAGACTTTTTCACCAAGTGGTGCGAAGCCGTACCCCTCCCGCAGGCCGACACTATTATAGTAGCCAAGGTCATATGTAGCGAGTGAATATGCCGTCATGACGTTCCTCAGCGGCTCCATTCCAATCATGGTGCTCAGTTCGGTTCGCGTTTGATGGAATAACTTTATGAATTCCTTCACATTCGTAAATCTCATTCTACTCCTTTCCACTCTCAAGGCAATGTGCATGCCGAACAAACGAATAGGACGCTCAAAGAGTTAATTCAAGCCTTTGGGGGCAGTTGCAGTGGCTCCTCCTGGGATGACGCTTTGCCTCAGTGTCTTCTTACCTATCGATCTGCCACGCACTCGTCAACGGGTGACACACATTTTGCCCTTATATAGGGCCGTGAGGTATGCCTTCCACTTGACAATTCCGGTTTTCTTCCGCTTTCGTCGCAAGCCCACCCTCACGAATTCGTACGGAATCTCAGAGCTAGCCTCTATTGTACACACGAGCATGCGCGCACGTACCTCTCGCGTTAAGAGACCTTCTTATTTGCTATTGTTCCTTGATAGCGGCCGAGTAGGATTGATTGTGTGGAGGTTCGCATGTGTCAATCATCGGGCGTGGTGGCTTGGGCTCCTTCTGACGAGAAGACAGAGATATTTCTTTTAAAATTTGTGTTACACCTTCATGCACACTGGTGAAAGACAGGGGTAGGGTAGGCATAGTAGTAAATAAACGAATTGGCTATAAATGGTTTATTATCGAAACGTTACTGAAATGGGGAGTAAAATAAGCTCGGGTCGGTATACTCTTGTGATAGTAAGGGGTATATGCGAGAGATAGTAAAACGATAACGGAAATACGAATTGATTTGGTGAATCGGGAAAACGTCATTGGGGAAAAGGGGCGTCTAGGTATAAAATAAAAGGACAAGCGTAGCAGGTGATCAAAGTTGGAAATACAAACGGTAAAAAGGGCGACTTAGCAGCAGGTGCGAAGGAAGGCGTTAGCTCGCGTCCACGATTTATGAAAGGGGAAGGGAGGAGCCAAAAGGTCCATTTTTAAGCAATTGGTCATTACACCCTGTCCGCTTGCTCGCTACAGAATGTAGGAAGTCCTAGAAAGTCAGACTACGTGCTGCTATCTCAGAACGAGGCTCATCGTTCGAGAGCACCGCCGTACACGTGTTGTGTAATACTCTGAAAAGTAAGAAAACGCACTACCGCGTACAACCCACAATGTAACGGCCAGGTGGAAAGGACGAATCAGACGTTGGTCAACCTGTTGAGGGCTTTTGTCGATCGCAACTTAACACCCGCGTGGGAAGAAGCCCTGCCAGCGTGCATCTTGGCTTACCAATCCACGGTAAACGCCGCTGCATAAAACACTCTGTTTTTAGAATAGAATAGAATAGAATAGGTTTATTGTAGCGCCCCTTGGGCACTGTCAGTCCACTTTGAACTCAGGAAAAAAACCTAAAACAAACTCGTCATAGCATGCGGCAGGAAGATGCAAATGCCTAAGGATCTCCACCTCCCTCCTACACATCCGGTGGAGAACATCGACACGTACGCCTCAAGGATGCGGAAAGGCCTGCGCATAGCATCGGAGGAAGCATGACTGCATCTTTAGGAAGGTCAGCGTCGTCAAAAAGCATTCTATGATCGCCTAGCATACGGGGCTCCATATCAAGCGGGAGACATCGTGCGGATGCGAAATTTAACAGCGTCGCCGGCTGCCCCTCCAACAATTAACCCAGCGTGGATAGGCCCGTACGTAGTTAGAAAGGTCTTCTCCGACACGACTCGCGTCGTTCGCAGCCGGGACAGGCCATACGCGGAAGAGTTGACAATACATATCAACCGTTTAAAGCCATGTCCCTCGACAGAGGAGGACACTGACAGTGCCGACTCGGGAGCCAGCCCGTCCCACGCCTATAACGACCAACTAGTTGAATAGTATTTAGAGGTTCCACTAGAAATAAGTTACGTTTGGGCTGAGGTATTCAAGGAACGTCTGAATGCGGTCTTCCCGGACGTAGAATTTACGATGGAGGAGGAAGAGTACAACCAGCTGGCCTTCCTGGATGTCCTCGTATGCCGCGAGGATTGTGGTGGACTAAAGACCAAAGTGTTCAGGAAAGCGACAAATACGATGCAAGTACTGAACTTCAACAGCAACCACCCAATCAGTCACAAACGCAGTTGTGTAAGGACGCTCTGTCGGCGTGTCGAAACGCACTGCAGTGAGCCGGAAGATAAGATTGCCGAACTACAATACCTCCGACGGGTCCTCAAAGCCAATGGCTACCCGCGCAACTTTGTCAACCGGTGCATACGCAAAAGGGACGAAAGGCCTAACAGCACGGACACCTGGGTTTGGCGAGCGCTTCCATATGTCAAGAACGTTTCGGAAGCTGTTGGTCGCCTTCTCGCACCAATTAGGGTTGGAATTGCACACAGACCGAAGGCAACCATCAGGCGTCAGTTGATGAAACCAAAAGACCCACTGCCACGGCAAGAAACGTCTGGAGTCATTTATCAGATCTGGTGCAGTTGCGGACTAGGCAACTACGTCGAAGAAACCGGAAGACAACTCCAAACGCGAATAGCCGAACACGCTGCTGCGGTGCGGAGAAATGACGCCAGCTCTCAAGTTGCGGCTCATTCGACGGGTTCCGACCACACATTCAACTTAGACGAGGCCGAAATTCTCGCAAGAGGTGACAACCGCGTGAGCCGGGAGCTGCTTGAGTCATAGTTCACTGGCCCCCAGTCTATGAACAAGTGCAATGATCTTCCCATTCAATACACCGCGCTGAGACTAGGCTGAGTCTAGGCGGAGTAATTGGTCACGCGGGGAGCGCACTGGTGAACACTCTTCCCAGCACTCGGGTCAGCGCGTCAGATGGTCGAGCAATCATCACACCAACATCCAACGCACGTGATGAAATTGCAGCAATTAACGACGCGAATGTCGGCCATCACGCCACGTGCAACGATTCCTGATGAAGGGGAGGGAGCCGTGAATATTCCTAGGTATGCGGTAGCATGGCAACTGTATCCTATAAATAATGCAGACCATTTATTCATGAACCACCCTTATCTGCTTATGTCTCTGAGGATGGATTCGAGCAGGAATCAGAATCGTCAGGCTAATAAAGCTCTTGTCCCGGCAATCGTGTCTTCTTCTTCAAGAGTGCATCCTGAGACTCGTCTCTTCGCTTCTATTGGCAATGTAGGAAGTTCCAGAAATCCAGAATACGTACTGCCATTTTGTAGAAGATTCTAGAAGGCGAGCCCCTAAAGGGGCGTTTGCGCCAAACATTTCCAAATTTATACGCCACGTACTTAGTCGCAATTTGGCTTCTCATAAAAAGTATGCATATAATAAATTAATTTAACCCTAAATTAAACAAAATAGCTCTGGCTTAAGTTTGCTAGCTTTCCCCCTTGACCTACCCTCAACAGTGGCGGACTCAACCTTGACGCCCTTGGCCCCTCGAGAAGCTATAAATACTGGTGAGGATTAGGCTCCGACAACCCCGTGGCCGGTTGCCGCTCTTCGGACGAGGAACCCCTGTCGCCTTCTCCATTGGATCACAGTGCTCTCAGCCGCCCCTGTGGACAATCGTCCCATATTCAGTTTATTTTTATAATTAGGATTCCTCCCTGAGTGCCTCTTTGTACATAGGTCCTTCAGTAAAATAACGACTAGTCTCCGTCCAATCCTGTTGGGCCTCATTGACCGTACACTTGCGCTAGACGGGAGCGTTAGAAGAAACCCAGAGATATGCGTAACCCCATGACCAAGAAATAATCGAACAAAGACGATGTTCCTCAGTTAAAACAAATAAATGGCACAGAGAAGTATGATAAATGAAGCTAATTAATATAATAATTATAATGGAAGTGCGATAGTGAATTACGTTTCATTACACACCTTTCCTACTGACTGTGGTCAAATTCAGCCTTTTCTGTACAGTCCACCAGTTAAGCAGACCAAATGACAGGAACATCTTTACTGCCATAGCCAACCGGCTGACGTTGCGAACGGCCCGCTGGAAGCTGGAAGCGATGATTAATCCATTATTTTAGCAAACAGCCTGAAATGTCCAAAACAGGTAGCCGTATTTCAACCTACTTTCTGTTATTTCCTAGTCCTGAGCATCAGCACATCATAGCTATTTTGTATGACGTTTTCGCATCAGACAGTTAAATCGTGCACGCAGTTTCAGTGCTTGTTTTAGTACTATAGCACATCTGCTATGGTGCATTAACTAAACCAACTTATCCGAGAACGAAGACTTAACCTGCGAAAATCCAGAAAGCCCATCTCTTTGAAAATTCTAACCGTTTTGGCCATTTCGGTCGGCAGAATTCATGATTCTAGTCCACTGTAAAGAATGTTGACATAATTCTGTCAGTCTTATGTGAACTACGTCAAAAACGCGGGCACATCTTGCCTTGTTATAGAAGCCGGTCGTGTAATATTTAACATTTGATATTTCTTACTTGGCCGAATTTTTTTATAGCATCCTCCGGGTCATCCAGTGACCGGAAGTTTCACCAAAACGGAATTTCACGAAAATTATAATCATGAAGATTCGTAAAGGTTATTGGAGCATGCGTGAAAATCTTCAACCAATCACATGGAAGGGAGCGAAAAACGTCCGCAAACTGTTGCACTTCGTTAACCCTAACATAACGGCTCTTATTGGAAATCTATCTCGCGGCTGCGCGGTATCGGGCCTCGAATTATGCGCAACCAGAAAACGAAAAAGTAAACCGGCCCAGGTCATTTAAACAGTTCTTATGTAAACGTAAAAATGACAAAATTAGCAAATAAAAATTTCACATCTCATTTACATAGAAAAAAATAACGCGGAAGACGCAAACAGACGACAAAAAGTTAACCGCAATTGCAAATAGCAAGACCTGAAGTATTCGTAAGCCGCGACAATTGGCACTACTGACTTGTATTATTGAGACGCCTGAGGCCGAGAAGCCTAATGCGCATCAGACGGCATACGCGTCGCTCATAACCGCGCACGCATAGGCGAATACGCAAGCGCGAGCTAGTTAGGCAGTTTAGTGTGCGAATACACGACGCATGCTCGTACACGCAGCAGTCTGATGAAAATAAAGTGCTCACCGGATCGAGGGACTTGATTGGCTGACTTTTTGAAGGGCTGGGGCGGATCGATTTTTTTTCTTCTTTCGTTGCCTTGGCCTGCTGGCCTAGTGTTCTATCCGTTGAAGGGCCACTTCAACAATCAGCCCTGATATGGAGGGAGCCCATAATGATAATTCTTTGTCCTTCATGGCGCGTGCCTTTCGAGCATGATTGAAAATGATTTCCTAAATTTTCTTCGATCCTTCACTAGTAGTTGCCTCGAGATATGATTTCGATTGAGCAATTTCTAGGCTGCAACGCTACAGTCTTTGATGGCGATCATGTATAAGTACTGTAGTCATTCTTCTGTCGTGTCGCGCCTAAGTCTCCATTGTCAAGATTGAATTCACATGCGGCTTATAGGTGACACATTTTGGAGTCAATTGTTGGTCAAGGCAGCGATGAAGGAAATGTAGTTGCGCTTTTGTTGACGTGGTCCGTAGGGCGAATTTCTGCCAAAGGCGCGCTGCATGGAGCAATGAGGGCTCAAAACTTGAGCTAAGGTTAGCATCAACTGTAGCAGGTATATTTCCTCCTGCGCCGCCAACCGCCGGAACTTGGGGCAAGCTGAGACCATTTGTTTACTGCATAAGTGGTTGTGACGCAGATTAAGCGCCTTCATCCGCAGCTTGCCCTTAGTTACCATGGCGGCAAAGCGTGCCGTGCAACCAAACTTCAGAGACCTAAACCATTAGAAATTCAGCATCAGATGCTTAAGTTGACTTTGTCTGGGAGCCACAGGTACAAAATACTCCAGAATGGCAACATATAGAGTAGATAAAGCGAATCTTCAACTTCTGGATCTATTGGTGATTGGATGTATCCCTCAAACCTAATCTCACAAAATTTAAACTCAAGAAAAATCCCAGAATCCGTCGCGGCTCGCATAAAAGTGTTCGACCAATCACTATTCAGCCCTCTGAATCCCGTCCGCATAAGTCGTTTATTAATCACTCGCCTCTTGCTTCATGCATGTGCTACGTATAAATGTTGCTCATGCCGGTCTTTCAATATCATAATCGTTTCCGCCACTTTGTTCTTAAGGTTTCAACCTCTTGCGATCTTCACTGATCTTCGTCAATTCCTTTGATAATTGTGACTATCTAGTCATAAGCTTGTTCGAGGTTGTTCCATACACTGAACGTCTTTGGTGGGACATATACTATAGCTTAAACTAACTGAAAATTTTAGCTTTCGTTGCAGTGAGCAATTAAGGTTTGCTCTAAGGTCATTGTGAAGCAATATGCCATTCGGGTATTCTACAGAATCTGTTACCCACCCATATTTTCGTTGCGCCTCATATTGTATTTTATTTATATCAACACTATATTTGTATGGAGGAGTCAACAGGTATGTTTGGTCTTTTTCCCATTACACTTTTATCGTTCTAAGCTTATACAATTCGCCACCATTGTGTTGTTTGATGTCGGCGTTTTCGATAGTATGCTCCAGACGTTTTGACAATCCTCTTGTAGGTAAACGTCCTTAGTTCGCTTTCTGATTTTTGGAGGAAAGGTCTGCAAATTATGAGCACCGAATAGGCAGTAGCAAAACTGGTAGCCTCTTAATAACTTTTTCGCAAATGTAATCTCGGAAGAAGATCATCCACACAACCACACCCGTAGACTGGCTGTTTTGTCACGACCATTGTCATTATCAGCTGTGAACGCTGGGCTTGAAGTTTTTTCAAGCGATCCATCTTAGTAATTTGGAAAACCTTGGTCGAACATATATGGCATAATTTGTGTCTTGAGTACATGCTCCTCTAGTATTGTCTTTGGCATGTGGTCTGTTACTGCTGATTCTTTGTCTTCATATCCCTGTCTTTTCGATGCTAACACCCACATCGCATTGGCCTGTCAAGAACGCAGGATCCTTGGGCTGGGTAGCAGTTAAACACCTGTGCTTTCGCTGTGCCTTAGTTCATGTTCTTGGGGGACACCCTTACCTGTTGTGGCAGACCCCAACAGCTATCCATAAAAAAACCGTTGCAAATTTGACCCATCATGAATGTTTATTTTAACTGTTCTCCTATCAGGCAAGATCTGCAGAACTTCCGGCGCCGGATCTTTTCCGCCCCATTTTCTTGCTTGGTCATTCTCTTGGACACGCTCACTTTTGTTCAGCGATCCAACGCGAAAGGGGTTTGTCCCGTTTTTATAAAAAAATAATCGTAGTTCGCTTTTATAGCTGTCTTCCAGTCTATTAGATCTCTCTCGAGTTCATTTAAAGTTCGAACGATTGGGAGCGGCTTTGTTTCTCCCGTCTGCAGTTACGCTGGTTAGTTTTGTCCATACATTCAAGTAATTGGCATTCAGCTTTTGTTTGTGGGGCCTCTTTTCAGTGAATATCGTGCAAGGTCTTATTATCGGGTCCATGGTAAGTACTCGATGTCCATCTCGTTCCACTTAATTTCTGTTAAATCTCGAAACTTAATGATTCTTCTGATACCTTCAGATTGGCTGCGCGAATGTTATTACACTCTGGACTGGCGGTGGCTACGAACCGTTGTTGTTGCGCCATGTGTCGAGGAGCTAATTTTCCGCGGCTGCATTCTTTTCCATCTGAAACGCGAACTTAAATCCTGTTGGTCACTTTGTCTTGCCAGCGCCGGCTTTTTCGCAGTATGTACGTGCCACACTGGTTAACTGCCGTCCTTGGTTTCCCTGCTGATGAACTTAACAGGTTTTGTCTTTACTACCTCGACTTCGTGCTGATAGTTCTTATCGCATTATTTGTAGCTCACTTCCACCACGTCTTTGAAAAGGTTCACGCAGGCTACTCATGGAAGTCTGCTATCAAAAGTTGTTGTAAGCTCCTTTCCCTTTCAATCATCTGTTCTGGAATTTGTGCATAGCTACCACTGTCTTGAGTTGGACTCTTAACGTTTCTCTTTCTTTTGACAGCAGCCCAAGTACTCCTCACAGCATTCTTTGGAACGTACTCCACTTTTATTGTCCTTCGAACCGGTGAGTAGCTTCGTCTCCCCTGACGTGGAAAAAAGATGATGTGTAGCCTTAGTTTTGCCCGTTCTAGTCATTTCCCTGAGAACAATGAAGTATTAGGTTCACAAGGTTTTCATCCCTATGCTTTGCACTAAGACGGATATATCAGACGAGTTAGGCAGTTGGGCTCATTAGATGATTGGATAATCGCATAAAGAACGACAAAAAAAGCTGAATTTATTTACCAGTACTTGTTGGTTTTGTGCCATCTTTTACAGACTCATCAAGAGAGCACAATTAAATCACATAACTAATCTTACTTACCATTGTTGGTTGGGCCGCATCCCTTGCATGTCAGAGAAACTAGCTGCAGATATTTTCGCTTGTTGAAGCATACTTCTAAGCGGAAGCAAGTTTGTTAGGAAGCTATCTGTTTAGGTCCTTCTTTTACCATTTTCCTGGCATATAGTTAACTTCTATCCCTTGATGGCTGTTAACCTAGTGTCTTTGACTCAACTGTTCCCAGCAGCGTAGTAGAGAATTTGACGACCTCACCACCTTTCCATTTTGTGTGTATCACCGTTCTTTCTGACTCTACTGTGATGGGTACTTGGGTGTCTGCAGTTCATCTCTTTGCGATAGACCTTTGGTTTTTAGTACTGCAAGTTTGATCCGAGCGGGACTTTTTCTTTCGCTGGAAAGCATGGTTGTGTATATGAGCGCGGTTGTTATTGCGATGGGCCTTATTACATCCCGTAAACCGTTTTAGGTGTAGTGAGATTTAGTATGCTGTAAGGGCCCCGAGAATTGTTGTTTAGGAGAGGAACAAGCGTCGAAGTAGGTATTTTGTTTCCCTTGTCGCAGGTATAGATTTTGTCGGAGTCAACCTTTAAAATAGATTGGTTGCCGTAACCGAACGCCGCTGGTTATAATGAATGCGACGAAACTCTATAGACCGCACATTTTCCTAAGACTAGGTTTTTCCTGGTGACTGGGACTCAGGCATCCTTGTACCTATCCTCAAGGAGGGAGATAACACAGGATGCAAGAACTACCGCGGCATAAGCCTCGTCGACGTTGCTGCGAGGACCTTCGCCACTGCCCTTCTCAGGCGATTTCAGGCTGTGCGTGACTCTCAGACAAGGCATAACCAAGTCGGATTTCGTGCTGAACGTAGATGTGCGGAACAGGTATTCACACTGAGGCACATTCTCGAATTTCGCCATAGCTGCCAGCAGCCAACGGCCGTCTGTTTTGTTGACTGTTGCCGCGTTTGATTCCGTCCATGGTGAGTTCCCGTGGCGGACAATGATACTAGATGGCGCACTGCCAAAAATCATCTCCATGATCAAGGCCTGTTATCACTCTACCACCGCGCGAGTTCTGGTAAACCATTCAGTATTCGATCTGGCGTTCGACAGGGTTGTATCCTGTCGCCCATTCTTTTCATTAAAGCTGTTGACCGAATTCACGGGAGGGCCCTACTCAAAGGTGACGGCGTTAAGTTTGAACCCGGATACCGACTGACTGGTCTTGACAATGCCGATGATATTGCATTACTTGCTTCAAGTTTTAGTGTCACGTGTGAATGAGATCGCTAAATCGGTCCGTTTATCCAATAAACGTTGGGAAGACTAAGTTGTTTTCAAGCTGCATCCCTGACCAGGAGAAGACACCTCTCGAGATTGATGGCTGCCAACTTGAAGTAGACAATTCCAAAAACCGTGAGACGAGGCTGCTGCAGAATGGACAGAGTAAGAACAACATTGTCTCCCTCATTAACGCAGCCCGACGGGTTTTCTCAGGCATTAGAAAATGCCTATTGGTCTGACGCGACATCTCCATCGCCGCCAAGATTCGCATGTACCGTGTATCCGGCCGGTCTTTCCTTGTCTATGGCTGTGAAGGATGGGCTGGGCGTATGGATGACAGGCGATGACTGGACAACCACTGGTTGAGAACCATCCCTCGAGTGATGTACACCGACTTCGTCTCAAATGAGACAGTCCTCGACCTCTGCGACAACATCGCAAGGATAACTCTGGCCATCCAAGAAAGATGACTGAGGTGGTTTGGGTACGTTCTGCGTTGTTTACCTCTGAAGCTCAGCATTACTGCCCTCGACCCGGCACCGTTATCCCATTGGAGGCGTCGAAGAGGGGGTTAACTCAAGACCTGGCTCGACGCAGTTGGTCAAGACGTGGAAGTAGTTCTTGGACCTTCGTTGTTCGTTCTTCCTCGTGGCGAAGAGAATGGGTTGAACTGTCTGCATCTGCTGCCGTGGATTGTCACGCGTGGAGAGGTACAGTGCGGGATACCATCGTGGCTGGATAGATCAGGCATGATCGTAGCCGTACAAAGTACAAGTAATTCTGCACTCTGTGTAATCCAGCTCACGACGAAAATATGGCAAGTCTATATGGGAGGAAACGTCTTATCGCATTAAGTGTGGGTAGGACTGTAGTACCCTCGTGTCGAACATTCGCCAATACTTTCCTATGGAACATGTTAAGTTAACGGCACCAGGTGTAGTTCGGCCGTCGTCATGGACGATATCCACCGCATGCAGCATGGTGGACGCTGGGCCAGTGACTTGGGCATGTATTAGTTTATAGTTATATTGGACTTGTGGACCATCTACCGCAGTCTCTTCCCTCACGTATCTGAGCCAGGTGTCAAGAAAGAGTCAAAAGATCGGAGGCGCGATGGGGCGCAGTGACTAACAGAACTGAAAAGTCCGTCTGCGCGTGCCACACACACCCCGGGTTCGTGCACGATGGACTAGATTTCCACAAAAACAAAGAGGGGCTCGGATTCCAACTGAATGGGAGTGCCACGGTGGCGACACTAAGTGGGGGGAAAGGTTACTTGAGGAAAGGCTTGTCGTCAACGCACACAAGCATCTTTTTGTTAGTTCAGACCAATTCACGCGCAAGTCACCGTCCCGACTCCTATTCTGCTATGGAACGCACGGTGGATATCGTCGAAATCAGCGGTCTAACTGTCATTCCAGTCTATTGAACTTCAGGTCCGTAAATGTTTGTGTCGATGATGGAATTAAGTGTTGGTGACAAACAGTCCTGACTAGCAAAGTTGAGTATTCTCGCACCATTACCGCGTCATGCCAAGTCCAAGACGGCCAGTAAGGCGATTGTTGGAATGGCCACCGGTCCAGTCCGTCTATTCCAGGCACCGGCAACAATCAGCAGAGCACACAGCACGGGCATCTGTCAGCCAACTCTTGCAACTGCGAGTAGGAAGCTACCTTATCACGATGGCCAGCAGCTGTTTTTGGCTTGTACCAGAAGACGACAGACGTTCGCAAAGTCACCTTTCAGCCGCATACTGGCTGGCCATTGGCTGGTTCCCGTGCGAATAAGGCACGGTTGGATAGTTGCAAGAACGACCACCACGCCGTATCTACCAGAAAAGTCACGTGGGCCGCTGAGGTAGAGAGTAGAGAGATGACTCGCAGTATATTTATTCTCCGAGCGACCAGTGGGCAAGTGGTGTCCACCAGTGTTGTGTCCAGTGAATCTGCCTTTCTCCAGGAAAATCCTTCTAACCCCTTCCCTCCCTCGGGGTTTCCCATTTGCCTCAAATCTGTCGGATTTTTGGTGCTCAATTATGTATGTGTACAGGCCGTTTTGCGGGCTCATCAGGGCATGCTCGCAAGACCTTATCTACTATTTCTTTAAAAACCGAAACCAAAAAAAAGATGCTTGTGTGCGTTGACGACAAGCCTTTCCTCAAGTAACCTTTCCCCCCACTTAGTGTCGCCACCGTGGCACTCCCATTCAGTTGGAATCCGAGCCCCTCTTTGTTTTTGTGGAAATCTGGTCCATCGTGCACGAACCGAGGGTGTGTGTGTGTGGCACGCGCAGACGGACTTTTCAGTTCTGTTAGTCACTGCGCCCCATCGCGCCTCCGATCTTTTGACTCTTTCTTGACACCTGGCTCAGATACGTGAGGGAAGAGACTGCGGTAGATGGTCCACAAGTCCAATATAACTATAAACTAATACATGCCCAAGTCACTGGCCCAGCGTCCACCATGCTGCATGCGGTGGATATCGTCCATGACGACGGCCGAACTGCACATGGTGCCGTTAACTTAACATGTTCCATAGGAAAGTATTGGCGAATGTTCGACACGAGGGTACTACAGTCCTACAGTCTCTTTATTCTCTTTCTTCTTTTTTTCTGCTTATTATTCTTATTATCCTTATTCTTCTTTTTCTTCTTCGTCTTCTTCTGCCTATTCTTCTCTTATTCATCTTCTTTGCTTCTTATTCTTCTTATGCTTTTTATGCTTCTGATTTCCTGCTTATTATCTTCTTACTTTCTTCTTGTTCTTCTTGCTTTCTTCTTTTTCTTCGTTTCCTTCTTGTTCTCCTTATTCTTCTTATTCTCCTTGTTATTCTTCTTCCTCTTCCTCATCTTATTCTTCATCTGATTCTTCTTCTTCTTCTTCTTCTTCTTCTTCTTCTTAATCTTTGTCTTATTCTTCTTCTGCTTTCTTCTTCTTCTTCAGCCCCTCACATTTAAATTTCAGTTGAAGTAATTAAAATATGCCGGCTAGGGTTTGAGGGTGGGGAGGGGAGCGAAAACCAAGATTACCGTCGACGTCGGGGGGAAGGATGGTGGGCACCGCTTGGTGGTTGGCTTGATGGCTTTGGGTCATGGCAACTGTGGGGCTTGTATGAAATCCCTCTGTGCGCATAGGACTGGTTTGCATACAGTTGTTGCGGCCAATAGACGCCGTCAAAGTGGTTTTTAGTAGCTGGACAGAATCTTGTAAATCATTTAGAAGCCCTCCTGTCATCTACGAGATGATCTGTGTCTATCATGTGTGCGAGGACAGCTGTTAACGTTCTCTACTTGGCCCTTTCCTAACCATACTGAAAGATGTTCTTCTGGGTAAACGCCAGTCGCCGACCATAGACATTTAATACACTGAAAAACACTATTTGTGAATAGTCAGACCCTCACGACCAGAATCAAGCAGCTTTCTTGAGCACAATTTTTTTAGTGAAATAAGGACGTTTTCAGGGTGCCCAAATCTGTTTGCGAGGGAGGCCATGCTTGCTTCGATTTCTCTTCATAGGCCGGGCGGACTTTGTACCACGACAGATAATCATTCTTAACAAGGAAAAAGCATCTTTTCAGTCCCCCGAACCTTCTGTACTTCGTGACCATCAGTCCTATGAATATGTTGTGGCAAATACATGCGGATATATGCGGGCTGCTGTTCACCACTATATCCAACATGCTCGAATTCTTGGCGGCTGCCAACTCTAAAACGCTTCCGTACGCCACGGTACTAGGCACAGCATCACTGTAACGTAGACGATGGCCACAGATAGAGCTTGTACTTGGTCTTCACGCAGTCCATCCTCTGACAGTGAATTGTGTTAGTAGTCGACATAACGTCTGCGAACTAGGCCATATCCACTGAGCGTCAGCATCAAATTTAAACAGGCCACAGTAGATCCTCTACGAGCATCGCTTTAGAAAAAAAAACCGTGATAACGTGGAGTCAGTCTTCTCTCTGCATGAAGTTGCTCCCCCTTGAGAAGCAGAGGAAAGCAAGCCTTACTCACAGGATCATCTGCTCAAAAAGAGGAAAAGTGGAGTAGTTTGTAACTTTAACCCCTGCAGATTACGTAGATTCATCTTCTTTCATAGTTCATTTCGTCCGAAATTCGGAAACTGGAGGAGGCAGAACTGGATCTAAGCGACTTGGACAACGCGGATTCGCCCTATTTACGGTTGGACCATTTGAAACGACAGCATCTGCGTGTGTGGAATCAGCTCTGTCGGGTACGAAAAATTTCACCCCGATGTGGCCGAGTCGTGCGTCGTCGGTTTGCCTGTAACGGTAGGTTTCAGATGTCCGTCCTTCCATCTTATTTCGGCGGAAAGTGGATAGGACAAGTACATTTTTTAATTGTGTAATTTAAATTCTAAAAGCTTACGCATGAAACCGTTCCGTTAGGAAATAAGGTAAGCTCACGTCGCGCCAGTACGCGAAAGTCTGCATATTTCAGAAGTAAATATATAAAACGAACGGTGTAAGTTGTTCGGTTTTTAAGCAGCAAAGGGGCTTATGGATCACTCCGTATAAGGACGTCCAACGGATCTTTTGCCAGAAGGAATCTTGATGTTATGGGGAGATATGGTCGTATTTTCGACACAAGTGCGAAAATGGCGTTTTCTACCAGAGTTTATTATTTTCGGCGTTTTGGTTTGATTTATTATCCACTCAACGTAATTTGAGTTTTGCCATTTGAGGCCAGAACATAATACGTCGCTTGAAGTAGGTCCTAATTCATTATATTAGTATAGTTAAAGTATTGGACCACCGCTCCTGGTGCCTCCATGAAGCGGTTGCAGCAGTTCATCAGAGGAAAGTTATAAGCGAAAAAATGGGCAAATCGAACTCCATCAACAGTACACCTATAATCCCACTGGCTTTGACTATTTGGCCGAGCAAAGGTTCATCAGTTCAGACTGTCCCGAGTTTGGTAAATTCGACCGAACTAATTGGTAGGCTAAAAGCGATGTCCTGAACTCTTCTAATCGGCTGTTCAGGTTTCTCAGTAATGACGAACTGAAAGAACTTAAGCAGAACTCCCGTCCCTTGGTGTCTTTCTCGACACGATCCCACATTTTTGTCTGTCTGACACCGTCAAAATGTCCATGCTGCACTCTGCAATCAGTTCATGTCAGTGAATATTGCCTGGAATTTTCTGACCTAAATGTTGCTACTACTCTCTGTTGATTCTTTTGAAGACTGTGTGCTGTACCCCTCACGTGAGATGCCTTGACCGCCTATAGTGTTTCGCTCTTAAGCATTAATCTTCCTTAAACTACACAAATATATCTAAACAAATTTTGTTTCAACTTCTTGTCTACTGTTTGCCATAGAAAAGGGCTGCTTCCGACGTTTTCAATGGCTGTTTAGTTTATTATCTCGCGCTTCTCAGACAACTTGGTGGCGATGTCTTCAGCTATGTGCATCTCCACACACACACTCTGTCTGATATTCAGGTTCTCGATTTGCGTCCGTGAATAGGGCGGTGGAAAACATGGTGAATGCGAGCAAAAACTTTCCCGACTTTATGGATATTAGAAGACTGGTTGAGGATGTCCTCGTTAAGAACCAAAATGTCAACATGAGGTGAGGTTCTTCATTTCACCTCCTCTCCTTCCTGGCCCCTTTCTTTTCTTCTTTTTATTTCTGACGTTTGTTTTATATGCCCTGTTTTACGCGTTCATTTTTTTACAAGCTTCCAATTAGGGAGCTGCTGATGCTATTATTTTTGCTTCTGTCTGCCCGATGCTGTCGAAGGAGGATGATGGTGATGATCCTGTCGAAGAGGGGGAGTGAAATTGATGATGATGTTGTTGTTGTTGTTGATGATGATGATGACGACGATGCTGATGATGGGGGAGAAGGGAAGGACGGAGATGATAATTTACAGGACACGGGTGGCTGTGAGGGCGATGATTAGTTTTTTCTATTATTGTGGTTTTTGCCAGTGGGAGTAATGGTAGTTCCCACGTTAGACTCATCAATTCCTCACTGTAATAATGCCCTTGCTAATATCTTTCTTCCATCTCGTTTTTGCAGTCAGACTGCTCTAAACTGTCTGGCAAGAGAAGTCTTCACTGACGTGGGACGTCTGCTCAAAGAACGACGACAGAAGGACATAATGACTGATTTTGGGTATCACCTCACCACAGATGAGGCTCGGTAAGGTCTTTCTCTCTGCAATGGTGCCAGCTGTATTGAACTTTGACCTTATTGTCACCTCAGAATCCCTTACATGATGGAAGAGGCCCACTCTGCCCTGTGTGCCAATTCGCTCTGTTTGCCTTATCCGAACAGGGCTGCTGAGTAGACGTAGTACTGGTAAATCTACCGAACCGTTCCATCTGTCTTCTAAAAGGGCATTTCTGTTGTAATACCGCCTATCTGTGTTGCCTGCTCTGTGTAGAGATCATTCATCACCTTGCCCGCTTTTGCCTTTTTCAGATCAGAGGCCGATCTGGCGATCACAGACGCTGAACTCCGTTCACGGCTGCGGGCCAACAGGAAGCGAGGTGCTGCTAGGCTAGAAGAGGCAAGTTGGAGCTGTAGTATGTTGCATACTAATCCCGTCTTTCACTCAGCTTCTGCGATGCCATTCCGATTACGATTTCGTAGCGGTCATGTGTTCTCTCTAGCCTCTCTTTTCACCCGCATCCTCTGTTCGCATTGCTATTTCTCCGTCAAAGGACGCTGCAGAATGCTGCATCTGCAAGCATGTATACGCGACATACTTGTCAGGATTCCAAAAGGGCATCTGAAGAAGACTGCCTATCGTAGGACGTTACTAGTTTACCCTGTGCAGAAATCAATAAAACACCAGCGTTCTTGAAATAACTTTCCTTCACCGAGGAATAGACATATACCGATCTACTTGACTTCCCAACTCTAACAGAATTCGTTCCCTGCTCGTATTGGCTATGAGCAGAGGACTGCAGTGTACACCAATTTCAGTTGTAAAAGTATTCCAACCGGCCTAGGAGAAGACTTATAGGTAGGTGTGGAGGGAGGTGACACTGATACAACTGACGCCAGTTTGACTCAAATTTCGGATCCCACCCGGTGTATGCAAGCGCGTCGGGTTGTGACCTCTTATATATTTTCGCGACCTGATGGCGGCCGCCACTGCTGTTGCTAACAGGCGCTGTCCCGGTGGTTTAGGATAGCTCGATGGGACCTTATAGATCACACGAAACGCTTCATTGGGGTGTACATGATGTACGGAATCGACAACATGCGCGAGAACGGCGCTGCTTATGCTCCTAGTTTCGCCTTTTCCCAGCCATGCCGGGAGGTGCTCCCGTATTCTCTTGGATAAGCGCCGACTCGTGCGACCAATATAACCTGCCCCACAGGAGCAAGTGAAGGAATAGATGCACATGGAAGTGGTCTGGGCTGGCAACCTATCCTTACCTTCTCCGCGTAAAATAGGGTTAGTAGAGAAGAATACTTGAATCCTTGCCGCTGGGAAGGTTCGCGAGTTCACTCGCAGCGTCCCCTTGAAAAGGGACTTTAAGGAACAGAGTTTTTTTTTCGGCCGTCGGTGTGGCTGGTTTTACCGGTCGTTCGGCCATATTCTTTGCAATAAACCTGTCCGCGTATTTGTTTTCACGAAGGAGGTCCTATATTTTTCTTACATATTAGTAAGTAGGAAGAGGACCTGGATGAGTCAGACATGGCAGATCTCTCAGTTCCCCCTCCTCTCGTCTCAATTGGTCTACCTTTGTTGTTTTTAACCTGACAACCCGAATGGATGGCCACCTGCCAACGATCCCATCGCCAGATAATGAATACGGGTTATTCTGGGAACGCGGACAGACCGATTTATGCATGTCAGCCTTCAACCATTCGTATGTGGCGGTGGAAATAACTACTAAACAGCATGACAAATCGGGAACTAAGTATCAAATGGGCTGGTGATAGGCTTGGACGCGCTGTTTGGTCTGGCATAGGACCACACGTACGCGCGTCACAGCGCAACTGATTCTTCCCGCTGACTGGACCCGACATTCACCGACGTTGGATTGGCACGCCGCCGGTTACCCCCATCTCGTCTCAGTGGTCAGTCGTGGCGGTTACCGACGCGTGGCAGTTCCGCTCAGTACAGTTTCGGAAAGTCACAAGTGAGATCTGGACAGTAGGTGGGACCAAGATGAAATGAGAAACATTCAAGCATTTTGTGTGTCTTTCAATCCATCAGAGCGGCCGAATCTCCCCGGGTCCCCATGCATTGCCGTTCGAGAATTTGTGACTGACTTGCTGCGGTGCCGCAGTTGTGCGATCATTTGTTTCTTGGATCGACAGTAGTGCGTATGCTGAAACCACTTACAACTGCCGCTGTATGCCTAATTTAGGGGATGTGCGGGAAGACGTCGTATTTTTCAGTTTATTTAACCGGGCCACTGAGCCAGCGCTCCCTACAGCACTTCAAATTACAGTAAGAAGAGAAAACCAGCACGTTTGAGAGCATTCTGTCTTTGGATTTCCTGTTGCACGTGGGTGTCTGGTATGACAGCTCAATGGAAGAATGAATATATTGGACGCTCATTTGTCAGTTTTCAAATCACATCGGCTCCATTCAAGGGGTCTTATAGTTTGTTGATACAGATTTGCCTGCTATGTCATCTGTCAGTTGTCCTTCCAACCCAAACTGGCAAGATATGCTGTTCGAACCCAAGTGCAGTCTTCGACCGTCACGGACGTCCAAGTCTACTACTGTCCCACAGGGTGTTCCCAGTGGTGACCTGCGCGTGAATTTGTTTATGGTGAGGCAGACTAGCGCTGTGTCTACTTCGCAAATCCGCCCGTTCCGATAGCAAGAGAAATTCAAGACGAGCGAAGGTAGACGTATTTGCAGTGGCTGACAGACAAGCATCCTGTCGCACACGACCTGGCTCTGAATTCCACCCACACCGGTTTAGGGTGATGTGGACCAAATCATCGACCATGATCTGTACTTGGTGATGTCTAGGCCACTTTACTCCGGATACCCACCGGAAATATGCAACGCACAACCAAGAAAAGTTTACTAAGGGACACAGTCGATTCGCCGTTGCCCTGAATATGCGCTGGATGCTCTACGTCTGATCTCTCTGGAGCACCTCCTGCGATAGCTGATTTTTATTCTTATGTCGGCAGAACAGTCTCTTGGGCTGAGAATAGACTCTGTGAGTCAGGACGAAGGACAACTGACATGTGTGGCCACGATACTTTAGAGGCAGCTTGCCCGACGTGAGTTTGGGGTGTCAGCGGTCCGTCTATGTTACGTTCACTCGGATTCCTAGCAGACATCACCACGTACACTTTGAGACGGAAATCTTTGCAGTGACACAAATAACATTTAAAATTGTGATAAAAACACGTTTAGCTTAATGTGATGTACAGTGGACCAAGTTTGCGAGCCTCCGTGCTCAGGAAGGTTTCTGCTGTTATCATTTTGCGGCCATACGACTTCCTTTCAGGTCATTTAAATAAGCTTTTATTTCCGGATCCACATACAGTCAGTGACCAATCTCCTGGAATGTTGACGGCAATTCTGAAATGCGCTTTAAATTGGTAAGAAATACTAAGTGGGGTTGTAATATTGATTATCCCGTGATATTTCGTACACGCTAGGATGTTGGCTTTTAAATGCACGCCTTTTCGGCTGTCTGCAGAAACCACATGCAGTGAAAATACCAACTTAAGTAGCATGACTTTTTCACATTGATTTTCGACGCCTTATAAACGTAACAATATTTTGTATAAAACATACGCAAAAACACACTTTTTGTACCCATTTGGTAGCAGGTCGCGTCTTCTTCAAATTTCGCACTCTTTGCCTGTGCGTTAGACTTTTGACCAAAACAATTAATTCCGTTTGAGGTAAGTTTCCGGGCGCATGCTCTACTATCCAGATCCGCTAAAAGTGAAGACGGTTTGTGTGCATGCTTTGACCGCTTCCCATTTCTCTATAGCCAGTCCACCCTTTCTTTGGGTGTTGGTATTTATCCACTCGCGCAAATTCATTGAACTGCACATCCATAGATTTCAACTGAGATTTTGATAATTGTCGGCCGCGTCTGATTCATCATTAACTGCCGTATTACTAAATTGTATCAAGTAGCATATTCAGCCCGACTTTGTCCTTTACTAACCTCACGCTTTTTTCTAACCCTCAGGTCTTGACCAAGTACTCACGCCTTCAGGAGGCCTATGAGGATGGTCTGGCTGTGA